CTAAACACCAGTCTAGGTACCAAAAATATGGCAATAAACAGAGCAGGCAGTATTCCAGCTCTCATGAAGCTAAAATTAAAAATTTAATAGAAGAGATGGAAGATGCACTCAAGGAATTTTACCAGGCAATATAATAAAAGTAATAGGAGAAAATTCCAACAAAAGATGGAGATATGTCTGAGGGACCAGGAGGTGACTTTTCCTCTTATTAAGAATTCCAGAGACAAAACAGATAAAATGAGAATAAGTTATCCCAGAAACAATACAAGAAAATTTCCCAGAGGTGAAGAACAAAGGTCTTCAGATTGAAGGGGCCTCTCTTCCCCCCAGTGCCCATTATAATAAATGGAAAAAGATTCCTATCAAGGTACACTTTCATGAAATGTCACATCAGAGATAAAGAGAAGGTCTGAGAAGCTTCCAGAAGTAATAACAAGTCAAAAGACTCAGAAAATATCTCCCTCACACGGCCTAAGAAATTACTTGAAAACGTGCTCTAGAAGAGAAAATCAAGAAAAAAGATGACACAAGATTCAGAAAGAGACTCCCATTGGGGAGGGGGGGAAATAGTCTCCTAGGAAACTTGAACTTCAATCTGTAGATATTATAGGAGGCATGGATTTCAAGCTGGAAAGCAATATGATAAGATCTGTGTTTTAGAAAGGACATTCTTTCCTAAGTCTTTCCTAATGTCCTTTAGAAAAAACATTCTTTCCTGAGTTCCTAAGATTGGAATAGTGGAAGATTTCTGAGACCAGTCACGAAGTTTTGGCAAAACTCAGGTGAAATATAGTTCAGACCTAAACTAAGGTGGTAGCAATGAAACTGTAGATGTGCAAACAGCTGGGCTGACATCTGATCATGGGGTGGGGGAGTTCCAGCACAATTTCATGTTGTTGTAAATATTCACAGCATGAATGTAAGGCAAGGGCAAGAGAGACTCCACAAGGACATAGAAGCTTTAAGCCCTGGAAAATGATAGATGGAAGACAAGAAATAAAGAAATTCCAGTAGGCTTCGAGGCAAGAATCATTATATTTGAGATATTTTGGGTGGACAGGCAGTGCTAGATCCATAGGAAAGTATAGAGGATCTCCTACCTTTCTGTCTGATAGCAACCAGACTGTCTGATTAAAACTGCAGATCACTGCAAGGGTGGTTAAATCAAAAAAGAAAAAAGGCGGTTGTTCCCCCGGCTTGACCCTGTAAATGCAGAGATAGTGTGGGTGGAGTGCACAGGAGCACTTAAGGTGCAGCATGCCTAATGGATACTTAGAACTATGACAAGTAAGGATTAAGATGTCTTCAAGTATAATAGATTCTAATTTTGCCTGTAAGTGGCCTTAGAACTCTGAGATGAGGTTACAGAGGTAGTCCAGTGCTAGATCTGCAAGAGCTTAAAGGGCGTGGCAGGAAGCACGGATGTTATTCATGGTATATTGAGAAGTCACTGTAGGCCTTTAGGCAGGAAAGTGACATTACTCACTTCATATGTTATGATTACTCTGGCTACTATGTGAGGAATGGATTGAAAAAGAATAAAACTGGACAGGAAAGATATTGCAGTAAGACATAATGTTAGCTTGGACTAGAAAGCTTACACTGGAGATGCAAATACATGGATTTGAGATTCCTTTGGAGTGTTCAGAATCATAGGTGTTTTGCAAGATTAAAGGTGGATGGGACAATGGTCTTGAGGAAATCCAACATGTTGTAGTGATTCCAAGGTTACTAATTTGAGCAGTCAAGTGGATGAGAGTGTCAATTACCATGTTGGGGAGAAATAGAGGAGGAGCAGGTTGATCTGAGGGCAAGGGATGAAAAGTTAAGTTTTGAAAGGACCTATTAAGTTGGAGATGCCTGTGAGGCACCCAGGTGGAGATATCAAATAAGCAATTGGATCTACAAGTTGAGGTCTGGACTGGAGCTGTATTTGCCAACTTCATTGCTTTTGGCTTGAGCTCAGATAAACTTCAAATTGGGACAAGGCGGAAATTAACAATTACTGAGGACCTACCATATGCCAAGCACCCACTGTGTGATAAATGTTTTTGTCATAAGGTTTATCCACATTTCCCCACACGTACTTTCTCCTTGCCTGACCAAGCACCCTCCTAGTTCAGCCCGAGTGGGACCTAACTTAGAGGCCACCTGGGATACATCATTACACATACTCAGACAAACTTTGGAATCAAATCTTCCCTCCCATTTTCCTACTGAGTCCATGGAGAGTTACTGCACCTGGATCTGTGTTCAAAGACTCCAAAGACCTGAAAGTGAAGTCTAGTTCCTGGGACACTGAAGCTGAGTTCTCTAGACCCAAATGATAGTTATGACGCCACCCTTGGTTCACTGTATCTCTTTGGACACAAAGAGATATTTCTTTGTCTGAATTTTAGTATCTGCCTGCTTCATAAAAATGCTTTGAGAATTGAAACCAGCTTCTGAATCACCTGGAGAGCATCTTAAGTAATGCAGATTCCCAGGCTCCACAAACAGAGATAATAATTCATTTGGTCTGGGACATGTCTCAATCTGTATTACAAATGATTCTGATGCTGGTCCAGAGTGATCCCTGGACTAGAAATGCTGATTTGCAGAGTGATAAACTGCCAGTTTTTCCCCAAATTATCTGCCTCAATGCTGTCTCCATCACTTAGATCATTAGGGCAGTTTTACAAGAAGGCACCGAATTCTTTGACACTCTTCCCATTAAGAGGTGGACTGTATGTCCTCTGCCCTTGAATTTGATAGTTCTCTTAGAATCTGGCTGATGTAATGTGGGAAGGTCAAGCCACCTGGAGTAGCCACAGCAACAGTCTCAGCTGATCTCAGTCTTTGAGTCACCTCAGCCCTGGCACCAGACATGCCAGTGAAAGAAATTGCGGATAATCCCAACCCAGGCATTGAGTCATCCCAGACTCCAGATCTTCCCAGCTGACGCCCCAGACATCACAGAACAGGGACAACCTATCCCCACCATTCCCTGTTCAAATTCATGATCCGTAAAACTTATGCTCATAATAAAAATATTGTTGATTTATGCCGCTTAGTTTTGGGGTGTTTTGTCATGCAGTAACTGAAATAATTACTAACATGTTTTCTCAAGAAATAATGTGTTAAAATGCAAGCACATTACTTGGATCAACTCTTTCAGATGAACACACACAATCAGTGTATCTAGCAGACAACAAAGCAAGGAAATGAGCCACGAGATGCTCTGACATGAAAGCATCACTGGGAAGAGCAACCTAAGATGCTTCCAGAAAGCTGGAATTGAAAGATGGCCACACCTTGAAGACAGCATGGCTAAAAGAGAAAGACATGCCTCAAAAAGGACAGATGAGGCAGGAGAGCAAACCCAGTTTCATTTGCTTCACAACTGTGCTTAACTCTGGCTCAAAAGTCCCTCCACTCTCTCACTAACTGCAAAGGTGTTTATTTATGCCAGTTTATAAATGTCTAATGTTAAAAATCACCTGGGGATAATACAGAAACAAGCGCCAAGGGTATTTTTTGTTATTGTTGTTTTTGAGACAGAGTCTCACTTTGTCACCCAGGCTGGAGTACAATGGCGTGGTCTCAGCTCACTGCAACTTCCGCCTTCCGGGTTGAAGCGATTCTCCTGCCTAAGCTTCCTGAGTAGCTGGGACTACAGGCACATGCCACCATACCTGGCTAACTTTTGTATTTTTAGTAGAGATGGGGTTTCACTATGTTGGCCATGCTAGTCTTGAACTCCTGACCTCGTGATTCACCCGCCTTGGCCTCCTAAAGTGCTGGGATTACAGGCGCGAGCTACCGCGCCCGGCCGCGCCAAGGGTAATTCTTACCACCAGTCAAATTTGGGAAATGCTAGATTATATACACTTTTTAATTAAATACAAAACAAAATAGCAACCGCACCAACACTTTCCTCACAAGAGTGACAGCCCTGTGATGAGAATGGGGTTAATACATGAGCTTCATGTTCTGAAGGCCTTGAACCTTGAGAATGTAAATCCCAGCTAAGTCCAATGACAGTGATGTGGGGGAAGAAATTGAAAATAATGGAATTCACTCGCTAATCGGATACTATTAATTATATTAAATATTTTAAATGGAATTATCTTCTATGAGGAATATTTTAATTGACAAAATATAAAATAGGAGGGATATTAGGTTAAATATTCACGGATTTATTCAAGCTATTAATGGTGCCAATAAAAATGATGGAGCAAGACATGGAACCTGGACCCTTTGGGATTCAGAAAAGAGCAGAGAATGCCACACTAATGCCATGAATTCATTCTACTTTAGTAACTAACACTGATGTCTACACTGTTCCCAGCCTGACCGCCACCCCCTACCCCATTGTTCTCGGAACTGATTTGAATCTGATTTCACATTGTTAATATCAACATTTGAGTTTTCTTTCCAAGAATTGATTTATAGTCTTCTAAAGACACTGGAGGGGTGGGGGCAGGGGAATTGTTTTCAGTCATGAATTCCCAGTGTAACTGGTTATGACTCCGAGGTCTGCATCATTATCAGATTTTCATGGTACTGATGTTGATTCATATCAGTGATCAGTTTATCAGTCCCCAAACTCTAGTCCCCACAGCGGCTGATAGCAAGGTAGGCCCCTTTGTCTTTGTTCTACTTTATTTCTCTCGCCTCTCGAGACCCTTTCATAATCACATGGTGGCATGTTGCAGAGTAAAATTGACATCTCTCTCTGATTGCAAGGGTTTGTGTGTATTGTGATGGATAGAATAAAATGACCGTAGAAATAGCATTTGTACTGATGGATACTGGAATTCCAAGGAGTTCCTGTAACACAGACTTAGGAGCCTAATATCCATCCCTCCTTAGACCAGGAGCTCAGCTTCTGTACTCAGTATAAGAAAGGAGCATGTCATCTCCCCATTTACCTCAGGCCTGTTTGACTTTCTGGCCAAGGCTGAGAAGGCCCTGGCTGCTCACTACCTCTCTGCATTTTTCTGTTCTCTACCTCCCAGGGACGTGTCTCATACCAGTGTTACTGCCCTTCCATCCAAAGGCCTGGAGCACCTGAAGGAACTGATAGCAAGAAACACCTGGACTCTTAAGAAACTTCCACTTTCCTTGAGTTTCCTTCACCTCACACGGGCTGACCTTTCTTACCCAAGCCACTGCTGTGCTTTTAAGAATCAGAAGAAAATCAGAGGGTAAGTGGCAGGGACCCGGCATAAGTGACAAAAGACCTTGGTGGAAGTGGAATTCATTTCTTGGTTTTGGGGAAGACGCTTCCTGGTTTGAAAACCAGGTGGAGATGATATTGGAAGCATCCACATAAAACAGGAGATCCATGGGACACAGGGACCCTGAGGACCAAAAGTGGGTACAGCTGAGAAATAAGGCAAATGTTGCTGGATAGCTGTAGAGCAGAAGAGGTGACGGATAGCACAGGAGAGAGGAACACAACCAGATCTCACAGAATCTTGTAGAGGTTATGCAGACATGATTTCCGGTTTCCAGGTACAATTCATAATTAGATACTGCAATACATATTAGACCCCAGACACCGCAACCATGAGAACAGACTTATAAATAACACAAACAGTTGGGTTACCTGATCGGTTTGGGCCTCGCAAATGTCATAGCTCACTGGTTACATGCCTGCAGGCTTTGGAGTCAGCTGGGTTTATACCGCAGCTCTTCCATTTTCCAAGTTGTGTTATCCCAGCCTCGTTACTTAACCACTCTGAATCTTTGGGAATGGAGATCGTAATGCTATCATTCATAGGAGTTTTGAGAAGATTAAATGGGAAACTGAATGGAAAACACTGGAATGGAATGGCCTGGAATATTATAAGATCTTCATTAATATTAACTATGATATATAGTATGTGCACATCAGGCTGCTTATGAGCCTGTGAAGGAGGGATGGCCTTTATTTTCTCTGCAGGCTTTCTCTGATTCTTTTACTTTTTCACTTTTACTCTGCATTATTTCCCCTGTTGTGTCTTCTACGATCTGTCCTCCTAATCCACCTTGATTATCTCTATTCAGTCCTCCTCAGCTTCTATGTATTTACTGATTGACTTACTACACACATAATTGCAGTCAGGAAAATATCAGATCAGGTGTGAGGGCAGAAGCTAAAACAGCCATACAAAGAAGGCCAATCTGGCAGCCGGGCACAATGTCTCACGCCTGAAATCCCAGCACTTTGGGAGGCTGAAGCGGCCAGATCACCTGAAGTCAGGAGTTCGAGACCAGCCTGGCCAACATGGTGAAACCCCTGTGTCTACTAAAAATACAAAAAACAAAATTAGCCGGATGTGGTGGCAGGTGCCTGTAATCCCAGTTACTGGGGAGGCTAAGGCAGAAGAATCGCTTGAATCCAGTAGGTGGAGGTTGCAGTGAGCCGAGATCATGCCAGTACACTCCAGCCTGGGCGACAAAGCAAGATTCCGAGACTCCATCACACACACACACACACACACACACATACACACACACACGCACACACACACACAAAGAAGGCCAACATGGGCATCATAACTGCAAAAAGCCAGGAGTGGGGTAGAGGATGGTGATGGTGTGATAGTGGACTCTACACTGATGCCATGCGACACTGAGAAGGACTGGACAAGGGCTGGGTGGGAGGCTTAAGTGGACCTCAGGGACAGGGTCTAGCTTTCTCCTTAGCCTCCAAACAGTTGAGAAGATCAAGTCCATTGGACATTTTAACCAGAACCCAAGAGATCAATCAAAATCTGCTCAACAGCTGAGGCAAGTTAAAGAATCCCTTTTGCTGTAAGTCTGGTGAGCAAGGAAAAAACTAAATCTTATTTCCACAAGCATGCCTGTATGGTAGTGTCCATTCGTTCATTTGTTAAACACATATTTACTGAGCACCTTCTATGTGCCTGGCTGTTGTGAATAGAACAGACAAGAATTGCCTCTCATATTTTACTTACTGTCTAGTGGAGGAAGTCAGAAAATAAGCAGGCTGGCCAGGGGCAGTGGCTCACTTCTGTATTCCCAGTACTTTGGGAGGCTGAGGTGGGTGGATCACTTGAGGTCAGGAGTTCCAGCTCAGCCTGGCCAACATGGTGAAACCCTGTATCTACTAAAAATACATAAATGTTTTATTTTTAAAATATTCAGTTTGAAACTAAATAATGATGAGTAGAGGGAGCCATGTGTTTTTCAGGCAATGGGAACATAGGATTTTGGAGCTTTGAATAGGAATAATAATAATAATAATAACAATAACCACCATATGGCACTTACAAAGCTATAGGTGCTATTGTAAGAGCCTTAAAAAGATAAATTCATTGAATCCTTTAATAACCCTATATGAAATAGTCACTCCCATTGTCCCATGTTACAAATGAGTTAACCAAACTTCATGGGCCTACCCAAGCTAGTCAATAATAAAGCCAGGTTCCCACCACGGCGACTGGCTTCAGCATCCACATCTTTTTTTTTCTTTAGACAGAGTCTTGCTTGCCCTGTTGCTACTCAGGCTGGAATGCAGTGGTGCAATCTTGACTCACTGCAACCTTCACCTCGCAGGTTTAAGCGATTCTCCTGCCTCAGCCTCCCAAGTAGCTGGGATTACAGACATGTGCCACCACGCCCAGCTAATTTTTGTATTTTCAGTAGAGACAGGGTTTCACCATGTTGGCCAGGCTGGTTTCGAGTCCCTGACCTCAAGTGATCCGCCTGCCTCAGCCTCCCAAAGTGCTGGGATTGAGTCACTGTGCCTGGCTAAGTACAGGCGTGAGCCAGCACACCTGGCCACTTTGTTGGGTTTTTTTGTTTGTTTTTGTTTTTCAATCACTGTTCTTGAAGTGGTTGCAGAAGATAAATAAGACCAATGCCACTGGATCACAGTAGGGGAGGGGAGGTCATAGAAATGATGTCACAGAAACAGGCCTGCCCAGATCCTGTAGAACCTTACAGAATTATGTACATCATAGTAAGTAGTTTGCATATTTTTGTAAATGTGGGAACCATTCATGGGTTTTAAGCAAGCACTTTTTTTTTTTTTTTTTTTTTTTTTTTTTTTTTGAGACAGGGTCTCACTCTGTCACCCAGGCTAGAGTATAGTGGCCTGATCTCGCCTCACTGCAGCTTTGACCTCCCCAGGCTCCAGTGATTTTCCCACCACAGCCTCCCAAGTAGCTGGGACCACAGGCATATACCACCGTGCCCGGCTAATGTTTGCATTTTTTATGGAGATGGGGTTTCGCCATGTTGCCCAGGCTGGTCTCAAACTCCTAGGCTCAAGCAATCCTCCTGCCTTGGCCTCCCAAAGTGCTGGGATTACAGTCATGAGCCACTGCGCCCAGCCTAGCACTGACTTTTTTGTTGCCTTGCAGAATCCTTGAGTCCTTGATGTGTAATGAGAGCAGTATGCAGAGCTTGCGCCAGAGAAAATCTGTGAATGCCTTGAATAGCCCCCTCCACCAGGAATATGAAGAGAATATGGATGACAGCATTGTTGGGTACAAGGAAAAGTCCAAGTTCCAGGATGCTCATAACAATGCTCATTATTACGTCTTCTTTGAAGAACAAGAGGATGAGATCATTGGTTTTGGCCAGGAGCTCAAAAACCCCCAGGAAGAGACTCTACAAGCTTTTGACAGCCATTATGACTACACCGTGTGTGGGGACAATGAAGACATGGTGTGTACCCCCAAGTCCGATGAGTTCAACCCGTGTGAAGACATAATGGGCTACAAGTTCCTGAGAATTGTGGTGTGGTTCGTTAGTCTGCTGGCTCTCCTGGGCAACGTCTTTGTCCTGCTTATTCTTCTCACCAGCCACTACAAACTGAACGTCCCCCGCTTTCTCATGTGCAACCTGGCCTTTGCAGATTTCTGCATGGGGATGTACCTGCTCCTCATTGCCTCTGTAGACCTCTACACTCACTCTGAGTACTACAACCATGCCATCGACTGGCAGACAGGCCCTGGGTGCAACACGGCTGGTTTCTTCACTGTCTTTGCAAGCGAGTTGTCGGTGTATACACTGACGGTCATCACCCTGGAGCGCTGGTATGCCATCACCTTCGCCATGCGCCTGGACCGGAAGATCCGCCTCAGGCACGCATGTGCCATCATGGTTGGGGGCTGGGTTTGCTGCTTCCTTCTCGCCCTGCTCCCTTTGGTGGGAATAAGTAGCTATGCCAAAGTCAGCATCTGCCTGCCCATGGACACCGAGACCCCTCTTGCTCTGGCATATATTGTTTTTGTTCTGACGCTCAACATAGTTGCCTTCGTCATCGTCTGCTGCTGTTATGTGAAGATCTACATCACAGTCCGGAATCCGCAGTACAACCCAGGGGACAAAGATACCAAAATCGCCAAGAGGATGGCTGTGTTGATCTTCACCGACTTCATGTGCATGGCCCCAATCTCGTTCTATGCTCTGTCAGCAATTCTGAACAAGCCTCTCATCACTGTTAGCAATTCCAAAATCTTGCTGGTCCTCTTCTATCCACTTAACTCCTGTGCCAATCCATTCCTCTATGCTATTTTCACCAAGGCCTTCCAGAGGGATGTGTTCATCCTACTCAGCAAGTTTGGCATCTGTAAACGCCAGGCTCAGGCATACCGGGGGCAGAGGGTTCCTCCAAAGAACAGCACTGATATTCAGGTTGAAAAGGTTACCCACAACATGAGGAAGAATCTCCACAACATGCAAGATGTCTATGAACTACTTGAAAACTCCCATCTAACCCCAAAGAAGCAGGGCCAAATCTCAGAAGAGTATATGCAAACGGTTTTGTAAGTTAACACTACACTACTCACAATGGTAGGGGAGCTTACACAATAACAGTTTCTTGAATATGCATTCCAATCTCATGACACCCCCAACACATAGCTGCCCTCACTCTTGTGCAGGCGATGTTTCAATATTTCATGGGGCAAGAGTTTATCTCTGGAGAGTGATTAGTATTAACCTAATCATTGCCTCCAAGAAGGAAGTTAGGCTACCAGCATATTTGAATCCCAGGTGAAATCAAAATAATCCATACTATCTAGAAGACTTTACTGATACCAAGTCCAGCGATGACATCGTGTAGGATGTTCAGTAAATATTAACTGAGCCATGTCAATATAGAGCTTCTCAGTTTCGTATAGCGTTTCATACTAAAGATTCAGCAGATGGAAAATGCTATTAATTTGGTTGGTGACCACAAGATAAAATCAGTCCCACGTTGGCTCAGTTCAAATTGATGTTCCCTGATACAAAGAGAACTTGATTACCTTAAAACTGAAAAGCCAAACACAGCTAGCTGTCATACAAGAAACAGCTATTATGAGACATGAAGGAGGGAAAGAATTTGCTTTAAGTTTTGTTTTGCTTTGTTTTGTTTTTTTAACTCAACCTATTAATCATCTCTTGACAAGAATCCACCTGATGTGAGCAAGCTATGATGTGTTGCCTGGAAAAACTGGCAAGATTTCAGCTTATGTGGCCTAGCAAACTAAGAATTGCTCTTCTTGGCCAGCCTCACAGCATAAAAGATGTGAACCCTAGAAAGTCTTTCTAAGTGGCAATAAGTGGGAATTATGGGCAGAGCACACTCAATCCCCTGTTGATTAATAAAACAGGCTGGACACTAACTATGGGACTTTGGGCAAATCACTGGACCTCAGAAATCTGTAGAAATGAAGGAGTCCAATAGTCTCTTCCAATTTTAAAACTCTAGTACAACCCTTTCCCTCAAAAAAGTATTTCTAAGATAAAGAGAAAGAACAGCACTAAGTAAGTAGAATCTGTTTTTCCTATTTTGTAGGGCTGCTGTCTCCTAGTCCTTGAAGCCTTGACATATGACCCAGGAAATTTTTCCTTTGTTTCACTTTTGATTACGATGTCTGAACCAAAAATTCAATTGAGTAACCATATTCGCCTGGATCTGAATCATTCATTTAATTACTAGATCTACCCAGCTATAATTATCAGGCCAAAAACAGATTCGTGTTTATATAGAAGAATAAACTATGGTTGCAAATTTTGGTTATTTAGAGTTGCCACTTCACCATGAAGAGTCACTTCAAAACACTTCGCTTGTCTTTAGGGATGGGTTTTGCCATTTCCAGCCCACAGTTTGATACTAAAGCTGTCAAGAGAGGTTTCTTCTTTTCTGAAACTGCCAGCTCTTTCCAGCCCTATTTATCACTGGACATAAAACCTCTTTTCCCCAGTAATTCTTCTTTACTTAAAATAGTCAGGATCTTTATCTACAGATGTACTCTCCAGGTTACCTGTGATGATAGCCCTCTAACGTCCTGTTAGAAAAGTCTCCAAGCAGAGATGGCATTACTTCTGAATGCTCATAAACCACACCATGAAATAAAAGCTCTTTGTTGTTTTCAGATTGTGGAGTGTGGTTAATGGGGCCCCACAGATGGTCCCTGCTGGACTCACCTGGAATCTCTCCACAGCCATACCCGTTCATCACTATCATTGAGACTTGCACATCTTAATAAAACTATTATAAACATCTAAAATCATGACTTACCTAGAAGTTCACTTGTAACTAATGAAATTAAACAAATGTGTTGCCTTTTGTCATATGTTTCTCTCCTGTGACATTTCAAAATATCACATCTTGATAGATAGTGTGTTTCATCTTGAACAGCTGAACTAATGCTTTGGAAACAGAGTCCCAGAAAAGTGACTTCAACAGAATTGTTACTAAAATTTGCACTCACAACATGAAATAAATTTTCTTCCTATGGAACAATGGTGCCAAGTCCTAGAGTGTTGTTCTTTTTTTGTTAACCTGTGAGTTTCTTTGGGGGTTACTATTGTATGTGTTAAAACTGAAGACAAGGAAAATAATTGGCACATTTGCTAATGAATCCATATTAATAAATAAAGTGTTGACAGCCAATTAATAACTTAAGTATAACATTCTGTCTTGATCATAAGTGGTTTTTATGTGAAAAACTTACTCCTGGTGAATTGAATTATGATTAATTGACAGGGATCACTAAGAGAAAAAACAATAAAACCAAATATATCAAGTAAATGATTGGTATTGACACTAGCAATTTAAATAGTGTGCTAATGAAGACAATAAACCTCTAAGTCCTGTTCAGAGTTCATGTTATCTAGCACCTTTCAATTATCTGAAGATAAACCCAAATCATTGAGGATAAATGGCCACAGACTAGTCACAGTGGAGGTCACACAATTCATTCTCTAAAGCTCATGCATGTTTCTCAAAAGAGTGTCTCTTAAAACACCCCCAAAATTTATTGACTCCTGCTTTAAAGATAATCTACTGCATCAAAGAAGCAGCCAGTGAGGAGAGGGTATTACAAGGCAGCACCATGAGAGTGGCAATAAAGAAAAAGGGCAAAAAGAAGAAAACTGTAACCACAATACTTTTTTAAAAAACAATAAAAGTTTGAGAACAGATGCTCTTACTTTGGGAGAAAACTGTTTCATAACATAATTGAGTGATTCTCATTCATTCCGAGTACCTAAGGGGCGCCATAGAAACTTGTTGGCATCAATGCATTCTGTTTTAAAAGCTATAAAAGTTCCAGTTCCTAGTGGTAGACTGACTTTCTTTCAATTCCCACTGACATGACAGGGAAGAAATTTAAAATGAGACCAAGCCAAAACTGCATGGTGAACGTGAGAAATAGAACCACCAGCAAAGCAAACATGTTGATAGCTTTCTGAAAGATGAAAGGTCTATGGCCTTGAGTTGATGGTAACTCACTGTAGAGGAGGTTACAGCCCAGAACATACTGACAGGGTAAGGCTGCAGCTGCAGAAGGATGTACTTCCCTGCAGAGTCCCAGTGAGCTTTCCAAGCCTGAAGGTTACAGGATTGAGGGTTAATTAGGGCAATTAATTGAAAGTCTGTGTCACTTGGACCCTCCCATCTACCATCACTTCATTCAGTTTGAATAACTGACATATGCAGGGTTTGCTGCAATTAATATCTCCCAAAGAAAGTGAATGATTCCTGTAAACAGGGAACTCCTCCCACTGGCCCACTTCCTGCCCTCACATATAAGTGAAGCCTGATCATTGAGGCGTTATCATCAGCAACCCCCGCCACCCCCACATGAAGTCAGGGAGAAACATCATGGGGGAAATGATCTACACAATCTGCTGATGTTAGCCATTCTCATTCTTCACTCAAAAATGTAAACAAGACACAAGAATTGCCAGATATTTGAGAGAAATAAACTGCACATCAATAGCACACAGACACACACACACACACACACACACACACACAAACACACACGGCCAGAATGAACAAAAGAATATTTCTCCAGAGAAAATAGATCATCCATAAACAGAATATTGTTGTTTAATTTCACTAAATAACTTCAGAGAAATTGGAGAGACTATCAGACCCCAAAACAATAAAAATTACTATTAAAACAATAGTAGTAATCAAAAATTAGAAAGAGTTTTGGAAAATTTTAAATGAGATTGCCAAAGTAAGAGATTTACCTAAAGGAGTGGAAGTTAAAGTGAGGAAATTTCTTGGGATGTTGAACAAGTAAACAAAGTTGTGAAATATCAGACAGAAGTTAAAAGATGTAGAGGATCCATCTCCAAGCCAAACATCTGTCCAAGAGGAATCCTAAAGAAAACATACAAGGCATAATCATCAAGGAAACAGAAGGAGAAAGTTTTCCGAAGCTGGTAAAGAGTGATAGGGCCCACTTAGTGCGAAAGGTGATGAATGAAAAGGCACATGGGCAGAACAGTACTTATAAAATGTCAGAACACTGAAAGCAAACCTTAAATGCTTGAGGGAGAATCAAGAAAGAAAAGTAGACAATGGAAAAGATATTAATAACAGTATAAACTAGAAGACAATAGAGCAACATCTTCAATGCCTCTAGAATTAAAAAAAAAACAAACTGGAGTTGAAGACCTGAATACAACTTTTCATCCCCCCAGAAACTTAGCCACTAATAGCCTACTGATCACTGGAGGCCCTGCCAGTAACGTAAACAGTTGATTAACACATATTTTGTATATGTATAACATACTATGTTCTTACAATAAAGTGAGTTAGAGAAAAGAAAATGTTATTAAGGAAATCATAAGGAGAGAAAATATATTTTCTCTTCATTAAGTGGAAGTGGATCACCATAAAGGTCTTCATCTTTGCCTTCACACTGAGTAGGCTGAGGAGGAGGAGGAAGAGGAGGGGTTGGTCTTACTGTCTCGGGGTAGCGGAGATAGAAAAAATCTGCCTGTAAGTAGACTGTAGTGTTCAAAGGCCAGTTGTAATTTCCTAATCTTCACTATATGCAGCCAAAAGATATGTCTAAATATTTATCGTTCAGAAAACAAGTACATAAGTATATAATACAATTACAGTGACTAAAATTAGAAAATGGCTTGAAGTGGTTTTCTCTGGAATTTGGACTAGGGATTGAGTGATATCAGGACTGAGTTATGTCTCCTTTAAATTTATATGCTGAAGCCCTAACTCCCAATGTGACTGTATTTGGAGATTGGGCCTTTAGGGGAGCAATTAAGGTTAAATGATGTCACAAGGGTTGGGCTTTAAACCAGTAGAATTATCATCCTTAAGAGGATGGATACCCCAATTACCCTGATGTGATTATTACACATTGCATACCTGTATCAAAATATCACATGTACCCCATAAATATATATACCTGTTATGTACCCATAATAATTGAAAATGAAATTTAAAAAAAAAAAAGAAAGAAGAGTTGTCCCTCCTCCCCACTCCCATGCACACAGCAAGAAGGCAGAGGTCAACAAGT